TCCCTCCACTGAGTGACTTGGCTCTTGGACACCTAGACTCAGGTCAATCCGATTTGACAAGGACCAGCCATGCCAGCCAAAGTTCTCCGTAATCAAGTCACAAGCAATGGGAGGCAAAGGCCTATTTCAATGACTCTTGAGTCTATGGAGCCCGGGACTATTTGGGGAGAGGGGGGGCGGTGTACACTAACATCTATCCTTTATCCTTTAAGGACAGATGAGAGCCCCAAGTAACCTATTTTTAATTTTATATGGATTTTTAGCCAAATAATTCACACTAAACATTTAAGTCTTCTCACTCCCATGTATATCAAAGGACCTCTGTAGCAACACAGGTTTTCTCTTAATTATCAACTGACCTCATAATTAACTCTCTGCTTCCCATAAACTTAATTCATTCCTCAAAGCAATTTTCTTCACAATCTCCAAACCAGAGGATTTGAGTGGTAGAGACTGTGAGGACAGACATGGTTTCAATCTGTTGTTCATAGAGTTGTGGTCATCTGGAGAGCGCCTAACACCAGCAACAGGAAAATGAATCACATGCAAATCACTAATTACATTTATTTATGATCTTTTCTTAAAAAAATTTTATATTGGTTTGCATATAAAATTTGTATACATTGGATTTCACACTTTCTTTCCTTGACATTATGTTTTCATGCAATCTTTCCCATACATTGTTTTATGAAATTAATCATCAAATTATGCCCACCTTATCCCATATTTTCAGGTCTCCCTATCCCCATGGGAACTTTCCCATTTCCTTAATCCCCTCCCTCCACCAACCACATTGTGTGACACTGTCATTTTCCCCCTGCCTGCTTTCACCCCTCCCCTCCCTCCTCCTCCTTGGTCCACATACATTTTTTATTCATATTCATTATCCTTTTTTAATTGAGATTTTAATGAAAGTTTATAGATAACTTGGATTTTCATTCATTCATAGTGGCAATATCACTCCCCCCCCCCATTTATTCATTTGTGGTTTGACCAAAGGCAAGCTATACACTTTTAGATATTCTCTAAAATTACCCCAGGAGAATGATTAACAGAATATTGTTAAAAAAGAATTACCTGAAACAACTAGGAGATATCATCTCATAGTAAGAATAGCAAAATTTAACAGAACAGCAAACATCAAATGCTATGAGGTTGTGAAGAAACTGGAACACTTACTCACTGTTAGTGGGAGTGTAAAATGGTGCAATCACTATGGAAGTCTGTATGGTGCTTTCTCAAAAAGTTTCAAATAGAAATACTATTTGACCCAGAAATTCCACTACCGGGAATATACCCTAAAGAAACCATTACTGCTACCCAAGCAGATATATGCATATCCATGTTTATTGCGGCTTTGTTCACAATAGCAAAGAGTTGGAAAGAACTTAAGTGCCTCTTAACAAACAAATGGATAGAGAAGCTCTGGTGTATTCACACAATGGAATACTATTAGCATTGAAAAACAAGGAACTCATGAAATATGATGCAAAACGGGTGACCCTGGAGGACGCTATGCTGAGTGAAATACCTCAGTCACAAAAAGACAAATACTGCAAGAGTGACTGACATTGGAGTTGGGGGAAAACTAAGAGGGGATAAATAATATATACCATATTGAAACAGATGAGGGAGAGAACTGTTTAGGAGGAATATATGATTAGATATTACTATCATGACAAGTGTCCAGAATGAAAGCTGCTTAATGGAGTGGACTGGGAGGTGGGGGTGGGGAGTGGGGAGCGGAAGGATTTTATAACAATGAAAGATTTTTTTTTTATTTACTTTTACTTTTCAAAGAAAAGAGTGAACTGGAGGGAATGGTGGGCAGGGTGGAAAGTGCAACAATGAATGAATTGAAATCCTAAGTCTCTCTAAACTTCCGTTAAAATTTAAAAAAATTAAAAAGAAGAATTACCTGATAATTACCCAATACCTTTCACAGTTTCCCCCCAGAATCCTAAGAGGACCTCTCTTCCCACTTTTTTTTTTCTTTTTGCAATTAGAAAGTAAAAATGACAGAGGCGATCATAACTGGATCTCTGTCTCCTGCCCCCCTGACAAGGAAACTGAAACCCTGGACTCATTCTTTGGACTTACTTGTGTGAAAATATTCTCCCCTAATGTCAGGGACCTATAGGCTACAAAATGCACTGTAGGCTAAAGAGCTATTTAAATCCAAGTGTGAGGTCATGGTGAGGGCCAGGAATTATCTCCCTTCATCTAGCTTCAGAAATCTAACAATTTCTTCAAAGGACAATACATGCTTGCGTTTGACTTTGCCCTCATGTGGGGGTGATAAGCAGGGAGGTAAAAGGGGAGGCTTTACTTTGTAAGGAGGGAAATTTCAAAGTTAGAATGTTTGGAGTAGGTGATGTAATATTACAATAAAGCAAATCCAATCACCAGGTGATAAGTGAAGAAATATCTCCCAAAGAAGTGGGGTGGTTTTTCTTTCTCAGCTCATTCCTCCAGCACTGGGCTGCACTCCATGAACAACTTGATATCTCTCATCATCAGCACAGTTGGGAAAAGTGCCACTACCAGTAACACCCCTGGTACCACCTGCGTTTCAAGATCAGAGCCAATGTTGCAGACCATCTCATAGGCAGAGAAAGAAAACAGCTCATGAAATGGACATTTTACCTTTCATTTTATTCCAAAATAAGTTCTTGTTCATTGTAACAGAAAAAAGGAAAATGGCAGAAATACAAACTCTTCCTGATTTAGTAAAATGAACTTGACATAAAGGTTATAAACAATACATTATAAGTAGAATTAAACAACTCAAATACAAGTTAGAGCTTTTGTAGGCTACAAGGTTTATGCACATACATGATTTCAAGCCAGTCTCACAACAGCTCTGTGGGCTCGGAGGATGGGACCTGCCATCTTCAGTTTAAACTTCACGAGATTGAGGCTCACAGTGGTCAACAGTCTGCCCAAAACCTCACCCTAAAGGGTCAAAGCCAAGGCCACAGACGAGTTCTTCTAGGAACACTGGCTATGTGCAGTTGCATATCACCAGATATACTCATTAAAGTGGCTGGACTGGGGATTTAGCACAAAACTGAAAGTCTCAAGACACTTTGAAAAGTATATATATGGATATAAGGCAATGTTTGGGTTTATAGAGCCTGTTAATCTGAGGAGAATGTATTTCTGAGGCATCAGGAGCCCTCTGTGAGCAAAGAAAGGAACCCTGGTGATACAAAGATAAAGTTCTCAGCTTCTAAATGAAAAGATCAGCAGTTTAAACCCACCAGACACTACATGGAAGAAAAGGCCCGAGGCTCTGGTCCTGCTGAGTGTAGCCAGGTAAACCTTACCAGGCAGTTTATGCTATAGGATCACCATGAGTCAGCAGCAACTCCACAGCACATAGTAACAACACACAGGCCTGTTTGTACAGGCTGCTCAGGGTAGAGCGTGGAGTTTGCAGATGGACCAGTTCCCAGGGACATATGCTTTCTCCTGAGGAGACCGATACTGCTCAAAGACATTGGCCTGTGAGAGGACCAGGTTTCCTGAAGCCTCCTCTGTAGGAGTGAATGTCCAGGCTTCATTCCACAGTGTCCTCAGCTCTCCTCTGACAGCAGGCCTTTTGCTACCCAGCCTGTCCCTTCAGCTTCCTGTGTTTACTCACTTGAAAGAATTTTGGTCTCTCTGTCTCCTGTTTTCCACTAGGACAGCTAAGGATTTGGGTCTTTTCCTTCACCCCCATACAATGGATATAGCCCTTCTTTCTAAAAATCTCTTGAAACAAACTACACCTTCTCTCTACCCCCTTTCCTTTCCACACACAAATGATCCCACTACAGAATTGCCTTAATATTCTCCGATCATAGATACAAGTAGGAGGTGATGAATGAAGAGTCTCTGAGGCCAGGTAGATGTTGGGACATTGGACACATGCTGAGAAGGCAGCCCATCCAAAGTCACAAAGAAAATCACATAAGTGAGTAAGGGGAAATGAGGGCACATCCAAGTTAGAGAGAGAGAGAGAAGAGAAGAGAGGAGAGGAGAGGAGAGGAGAGGAGAGGAGAGGAGAGGAGAAGAGAAGAGAAGAGAAGAGAAGAGAAGAGAAGAGAAGAGAAGAGAAGAGAAGAGAAAAGAAGAGAAAGGAGCAGGGGGAGAGAGAGGAAGAGAAGGGAAGGGGAGGGGAGGGGAGGGTAGAGGAGAGAGAGGGGAAGGAAAACTGGAGTGACTGAGAAAAGCAAGCCAAAAGCAGAAGGCTGGTCTACCCTGGAGTGATAGAAATGAAACAGGGAAAATTGGTGACCTGGTAATAAGAAGCTGTGCCACAATCCCAAGGGCATGTGTTTTGAATTCACCAGCTGGATGGGAAATCTCCTCCTGTGCTATTTACTGCCTCTGAAAACCCACTGGAGGGTTAGCTATGGGTCAGTTCTGACTCGAGGGCACATAACAGCAAGTGGCTACAACACTGCCCCAGGTTCTGTTCCACTCAGCCTCCTTGGAGAGTCATCAGTGAACTGACCTTGTCCACTTGGCATGGGTGTTCTTGTCTACTTGGAAGGTTTCTTCTCTTAACATAAAAAGAAAACAAAAAACCCTATCTTGGTTCTAACCTGGTGTTTCACTGCTTATTGAACCAAAGACTTAAGCATTGGAAGGGACTTGGTGAGCTCTATGTTCTGAAGAAGGGGACCCCTGGTGCCCTAGTGAGTAAGGAGCTGCACTGGCAACCCTCGGGCACGCACTTAGAATCGGCCAGTGGCTCCATGGGAGAAACATGGACATGCAATTTACTGCCTCTTAAGACCCTCTGAAAGGTCAGCTATGAGTCAGATCTGACTTGACGGCACATCACATCACAATAATAGCTCCTAAAAAAACAAGTCAACCTAAATTTGTTCAGATCTGCAAATGAAAATTTGACTGGTTAAGAAGCTTGCCCGTCCTTCCTGACTCCAAGCACAAATCCCTGGGTTGTAAGCTATGTTCCAGTTCCAGGTCCACTTTTCAACTGAGAGGGATCATTCTAGGCTCAGTCTGGGTATAAGCCACCACAGGCCCCGCCTTCTCTCCATTTCCACTGGAGGAGGACGGTAAGGGTCCTCCAGGGCTTCCTCCTGGCCTGATACTGTCTTCACATATATGTGACCTTCTTCTGTCCCTGTGACATTACCATGTGTGGATGACCGCTGAGGATTCTTGAAGAGAAAGAAAAGAAGTTATTTTTTTTTTAAAAGTACAGCTGAGAGTTCTACTTTCATATGAGACAGAATGACAGCCTTCCCCCGCCCCCCAAAAAAGAAGCTTGGACTAAATGTTAAATAATTATTTTCAAGATGCTAAATGTTGAGCAAAGAAGACAAATGATCCCTGAGAGACAGAAACAGGATGGAGGGCTACAATTGCCTGTGGTTACTGCCTAAAGAGAGCTTTCAAACACGGGAACCCAAGTTGAGGCAGCAGATTCTCTGCGTTGAGTACATGGAGCTGCTGTCAGATGCTGTTGAGTGGAGCGCAACTCACAGCAATTTATGAACGATGGATCTGAACCTTGCCCTGTCTTGTACCATCCTCATCATCTGACGTATTTGAGCCTATTGTTAATAGTCACTGTGTCAGTTCATCTTGCTAGAAAAAGCACAACCAAGATGCTCCTTAGAGGCAAATATGGCGAAACCATCTCATTTTGGGGCATGTTGTTAGGAGGGATCCATTCTTGGAAAAGATATGATACTTGAAAATGAGGAGGGTCAGTGAAAGGGAAGAAGACCCTTAACATCGAGCTGAGTCTGTTAAGACCAGGAAAGCTAGAGTTCACAGGGGAAAATCCTAGAGAGGCAATAACTGGTCATAAAGAGAACCATAGTCATGTACACATACATATACAGAAGAGGAGACTACTGGAACATGGAGCTTGCCATCTAATAAGATGCATTCCCTTACTTAATAATCTCTGCTCTGAAATCTACTTTATCCAGTCTTTTCAAATTGTATTATTTTGTTTAATTTTAGCGTGATATCTCTTCTACCCACACCTTCACTTTCAATCTATTTGTGTCTTTATATTTAAAGTGAGGTTTTTGTAGGCATCTTTCATATTCAATCTCACATCTGCCTTTTAATTGTGATGTCTGGATCATTCGTATTTAATATGATTACTGGTATTTGTTATTACTATTGCTAGTTGCTACTGGGTCAGTTCTAACGTTTGGAGACCCCCTGCATACAATCTCAGGGTTTTCAAGGCTGTGACCTTTCAGAAGCAGATCATCAAACGTGCCCTCTAAGGTACCTCCACGTGTATTTGAACCACGAGGATTCCAGGCAGTAGTCAAAAGCTTAACCATTTGCATCACTCAGGGTGGGATCATTGATATGGGGCAGTTTAAATCTATTATCTTGCCACTTGTCTACTCCATGGAACATGGTTAATTTTTTAAGTATTTTTAAAATTTATTTGCTTCTATAGTGTCTAATATTTTTTTACTCCTTTGTTCTTCCATAGAAGTTTTAGAAGGATCTTGTTAAAGTCCATGGGGAAAAATCCATTTGACTTCATATTAGAATGACATGTATTATACAGATTAATTTGGAGTTACTCAACATATTTATGCTATTGATTCTTTGATGATTCCATATAATTATATACCAATTTAAAAGATATAATTGCCATTAAATGATGCCATTGTTTGATGGCATCAAATCTGTTCTAACTCATGCCAGTCCTATATAAATAGCAGATCAAAACTCTGACCAATCATGTGTCATCTGCAAATTCTCTGCTATAGTCATATGCCAGTCAGTCTCATTGAGGGTCTTCCTCTTTTGCTGGCCACCTATTACCCCCACCATCTACAAGACTGATGTCCCTCTTCAGAGACTGGCAGACGTCTAACAATAGGAGTATGTAACATGAAGTGTCATACCTGTTTCTAAGGAGCACTCTAGCTATACTTATTTCAAGACAGATGTGCTTATTCTTTTGGCCATTCATGGTATTTTCATAGTCTTTGCCAAGACCATAATTAAAATACATCAACTCTTCCCCAGTGTTCCTTATTTATTGTTCAACTTTCACAAGAATATGAAGCAATTGAAAATACCATGCCTTGGGTCAGGTGCACTTTAGTTTTTAGAGTGATGTCCTTCTGCTCAGTGATGTACATCTGGTTGCTTCTAGCTCTTTGTTATTGTAAATAATCTATGAATTTAAGAGTGGATGCATATCTGTTCTTGTTGAAATTCTTATTTCTTTGGGCTTTTTACTTAAAGGTACAATTGTTATATCAAATGTTATTTATTTTCAACTTTTTAAGGCAGTGCCGAACTAATTCCAATAATGATTGTGCCATTTTACATACCTATCAACAGTGTATGAGAGTTCCAATCTCTCCATACACCCTCACTAGCAATTGCCATTTACTGTCTTCTTGAACTTTGTTCATGGTTACAAGGGATGAGAAGACAGGGAGGGAAAGAGCAGTAAAAATTAATAAAGAAATAATAGGGTGTTTTTTAAATGCAGAACAGATTATCTGGGAGGCTGGTCTCTATGAGGAGAAATGTGGCATCAGAACTGGAGGAAGACTCATCAACTATCTGCGCTATGCAGATGACACAACCCTGCTTGCTGAAACCGAGGAGGACCTGAAGTGCTTGCTGTAGAAGGTCAGGGCCTGCAGTCTTCAGTATGGATTGAGGCTCAATATCAAGAAAACAAAGATTCTTACCACTGGGCCAATTGGCAGCATCATGATGGATGGTGAAGAGATTGAGATTGTTCACCGTTTTAGTTTGCTTGGCTCCACAATCAAACTCTTGGCACCAGAAGCCAGGAAATTAAAAGACATACTGTGATGGGAAAGTCTGCTGTTAGAGACCTCTCTAAAGTACTGAAAAGCAATGATGTCATTCTGGAGACTAAGGTGCCCCTGATACATGCCATGATCTTTGCAATCACTTGCTATGCATCAGAGAGTTGGACAATGACTAGGGATAACAGAAGGAGAATTGATGGCTTTGAACTGTGGTGTTGGAGAAGAATATTGAATATACCATCGATTGCTAAGAGAACAAACAGGTTTGTACTGGAGAGGGTGAAGCCAGGCTGCTCCTTGGAGGCAAGGATTCTGAAGCTTCATCTGACATACTTTGGACATGTTGTAAGGAGGGACCAGTCCTTGGAGAAGGACGTCATGCTTGGGAGGGTGGAGGGACAGGGCAGGAGAGGAAGACACTCTATGAGGTGGATTGATTCAGTGACTGGGGTAATCGGAGTAGGTGTATGCGAGACAGTGAGGTTGGCACAAGACAGAGCAGGGTTTAGGGCTGTTGTACATAGTGTTGCTTTGAGTCGCAGGCTACTTGATGGCACATAATAACAACAGCAACAAAAGGAAAGGCAATATATAATACATGAATGAGTGAACATAGTGAATATTATAATATTATAAAACACAATGTGCATGAGTGATTAAAAAACCAACAATAATATGCTTTGTAAACTTTCACTCAGATCACAATAAAAGTTGTTTAAAACCCAAAATGTTGTTTTTGTTAATAGCATTTTAAATATGTCCTTAACAGCAGATGTGCCCAGTGTAATACATTCTGTATTCATACCTGCAGGTTCCATGAATGTCAATTGTAGATCCTATTGTTGGTTTTGTTAGTGCCTTTGAGTTTACTACAACTTTTAGTGACCCTACAAACAAAGGATCGGAACCTTGCCCTGTCATGTGCCATCCTCACCATCTCTAATATACTTGAGCCCATGGTTATAGTCACTCTGTCAATCTATCTTGTTGAGGATATTCCTTTTTTCCTGACCTTTCCAAGCATGATGTCCCTTGCTAAGGAATGGTACCTCCTAACAATATTCCCAAAGTATGTGGGACCAAGTTAAATCATCCTTGCCTCTAAGAAAACCCTGGTTGTACTTTCTCCAAGGTAGTCCATAGGATAGTCAATACTTCTCTCCAACACCACACCCCAAAAGCATCAATTCTTCTGTCATCCTTAGTCATTGCTCAACTTTCAGATGCACAGCACGTAATTGAAAAGCTTATGGTTTGGATCCAGTGGACCTTGGTCTTTAAACTGATAATGTTGCTCTTTGGCACGTTGGAGAGGTCCTTGACAGCAGATTCTCCCAATCTTTTGATTTCTTGACTACTGATTGTAGGTTTTTTCATTTTGGTTTTCTAATTATCTAGATTTTAATTTTTTTTTAATTCATTCATTGCTGCACCTTTTCCTTTCTCCCCTTCCTTTCCCCCTCCCCCAGTTCACTTTGCAATGTACCTCTTATTCCAGATTGTTTTCATATATATAATGCCTAATCATCTATTCCTTTTAAACAGTTCTTTCCCTCATCTGTTCCAGTGCAGTGTTCATTATTCATCCACTTTTCCCCTATTCTACCCCCAACTTCCGATATCAGTCTTATTTTATAACAGGGTGTTATGCAGCATTTGTCTTTTTATGATTTTCATTCCGTATCATGTCCTCCAGGCTTACCCATGTTGTGTAATGTTTTATGAGTTAATTTTTTAGTGCTGTGTAATATTCCATTATGTGAATGAATCATCATTTTCTATCCATTGTTTGCTGATGCGCACTCGCATTGCTTCAATCTGTTTGCTAATTGTGAATAACACAGCAATACATCTGAGTCATGGCTCTGATTTCTTTAGGGTGTATTCCTAGTAGTAGGTCAAATGGTATTTCTATTTCCAACATTTTTAGAAAGTGCCAGACTACCTTCCATAGTGGTTGTACCATTTTACTTTTCCAGTAGTAGTGAATAAGTGTTCCAATTTCTCCACAGCCTCCCTCACCAGTATTTGTTATTTGCTGCCCTGTAACTTTGCTATTGTTGCTGGAATGATGGTTGTTGATTGTGAATCCAAGATTGTTGGTTAATTCAATCTTTTTTCACTATTTATCATGATGTTGCCAGTGTTCATAGTGGTGAGAATTTTAACAATTTTCCCATGTTACACTTTCTATTCTTCCTATTATCTGATTACATTGACTAGGAACTGAAGAACAACATTGAATAGAAGTGTTAATTATGAATATCTTTGTTTTGTTTCTGATCTTAAAAGATGCTTTCAACATTTTACCCTAGGTGTGATGTCTTCTGCAATTTTTCCAAAGATACCCTAATTAAGTTAAGGATGTTCCTATTCTATGCATTCATATCACAAACGCCTGTTGAAAATTTTTGACCTCTCAACAATTACAATGCCCATACTTCTTTGGTGACATAAATTTTATTAATTAATTTTCTAATATTAATCTTGCATTCCTGTTCAGTCAATAAAAATCCACTGAGAATGTTCTTTGGCCAAGAACATGGTAGTCTCTATCAATGAGAGACTTGATAATTCTTACTTTGCTTACTGTATAAAAGACATTTAGAGATTATTATAACCAAGAATTCTTACCTCAGATATCTTGGGATTGTCATAGATCTCTGAAATTTCACATGGTCTTTCCTGTTCCTAAATTGGTCCCAAAAAAAGAAAACATAATTGAAGGGTGTTGGCATTTGGCCATGGTCAAAACTTAATGCAGTGGCCCTTCAACTTGGAAGCATATCAGGATCTTCAGGGAACTTTGAAACAAAACAAAGTTGGGGTGGGGGTGGAACAGCCTACACAAAATGCCCATCTTTTTAAAAAGAAGAAAAGAGACATGTACAAGTTATTTTTGAAAATAACGTATAATTTAAAGTGTAGAAGAACAGGTGGGAATAGAAATGAGGCAACTTTCATCATGAGCTGCTTCATTATGCTACTTCTCTCTACCTTTATATGTGTTAAATTATTCATAATTTTTAAATCTTTATAAAAGATCACTGCTACAGTACTAGTGTCCAAAGATTAAGAGTTTGTTCATTTTGGTGGTCACGGCTCAGTAGTAAGAAGCTGTGCTGCCGCCCCAAAGGCACACAGTTTGAATCCACCAGCTGCTCCTCAGAAGGTGGGTGAGCAATCTCCTCCCGTGCAATTAGCTGCCTCTGAGAACCGGCCAGAGCGAAGGGTCAGTTCCAACTCAACATCACACAGCAGCAACAGATGATTTTAAAGTGCACTGAAACATCAAGAAACGAATTTAAATAATCCCACCAAAAGTCACAAGGCTTCCTAATGTTTTTAGATTTATAGTTTGCCAATCTCTACATTTATGATCTCATTTCCTCCTTACAACTTTATATTGTAAAATCAATAGGGCCATTTTTATGACTTCTAATTTCAAGTGCAATTAAGATTTCACTCAATCACTCATTCTTATGGCTGCACTGTGACAACTGGCTCATTGCTGACCCTCTGGTAAGATTTCAAGGCTGTGTGTTGGCATGGAAGGAGAGTCCCCATCTTTCTCGCAAGAAGCAGCTTAGGAATTCAAACCAGTAGAGAGTATCAGGCTTTGGATTAACAGCAAAACTCCCTATTGAACTACCCTACAAGAGCTTCTAACTAAGGCCAAGAAAATGTTAGGTCACTCATCTAGGATCATATAACTCAAATAGCAGAGCTTGGATTAGATCCTAGATTTTCCCCATCATCCCAATAAAGTTTACAGTCTGAGAAAAACCATAAATGTTCATAAACAGAATAGAACGCAGAGGCCTTATGACACATCTGTATCAACCAGAGCTTTGTTGTATATTTCTCTGTGCATTGGCATTTGAATGTTGGGCATAGTTCTTAGAACAAGCAGGCAATTGGAGAATAGGTAGTTTCTCTTGTTAATTAAACGTGTTTATATGCGGACAAAGGGACCAAATAAAAATTCACATCTTCTGGACATCCCCCTACACAGTCCTTTGTATACCTTTTCTCTTTCCTACATTTCCTGTGATTGTCTCCATTTTCTCTTTGCAAAATTTGTGTCCTTTTTCTCACTTTTAACAAAATGACAAACTATTCATTGCTGTCTAGTTGGAATTAGTTAGTAGCTGGCCTTCAGGCTGGTTTTCAGAGGTGGTAAATTGAGCAGGAGGAGATTTTCCATCTTTTTGTTGAGAATCAGCTAGTGGATTTGAACCACCTGCTTTTGAGTTGGCAGCACAAGTCCTTACCCACTAGGTTACGAAAAGGCTATACAGACATGAGTTCACTGTGTTAATGAACGTTCCTTTCCACTGCTACTCTTTGCCACTATCCTTGTTCCACAGATTCCCTCAAGTAGCCTGAGAGTTATATTGACAAATCATCATCTCTGCTAGAAATTTATGTTTAAAATAGAAATGAAGGCACAGAAACTTCTAGCATCTTTTCCTCAGGAAATAGACATGGGGTTTTTTAAATTCAGTGAACTGAATAAAATCCAATTCATCGAAATACTGAGTTTCGCTGACACAATCAGAACTGAAGGAGCTGGTGGTACCTCACTGGAGTCATGGCTGCTTCTTCTTCGACGAATCAAAATTAATAACAAAGCCACCAGCAAGGCTGTGGCCACCAGGGATGGGATGCCTGCAGCTAATCCAACAGAAGGTCCACAGTTCTGACAGAGAGAGAAAATCACAGAGTCAGGGGATGCCCAGCTCTTTTTTAAAAACATATTTATTATTATTATTAATTTTAATGAAAATTTACAGAGACTTTGGATTTCCATTCATCCATTGTTGCACTTTTCTCCCTGGCCACCCCTCCTCTCTAGTTCATTCTTCTCTTTGAAAAGTAAATGAAAAATTCTTTCACTATTATACAATCCCTCCCCCCAAGTCTACTCCACTATGCAGCCTTTGTTCTGGACTCATGTCATGAAAATAATACCTAATAATATATACCTTTTAAACGGTTCTCTCCTTCATCTGTTTCAATGCAGTATACATAATTTATCCCATTTTTCTCAGTCTCCTCACCCCCAACCCCTATGTCAGTCCTGTTTTACAAGAGTGGCACTATGTAATATTTATCCTTTTGTGACGGAGATATTTCACTCAGCATAATGTCCTCCAGGGATGCCCAACTCTTTTGAAATAAAGGAAGAGTTTGTTGTTAGGTGTCATCAAGCTGACTATGCCTCATAGTGACCCTACGAACAACACGTCTGAAGCCTGTCCTATCCTGTGCCATCCTCATGCTCTCTGTCCTGCTCAGTACCATTGTGGCAGCCCCTGTTCAATCCATCTTATTAAGTGTCTTGTTTTCTTTCACTAACACTCTACCTTTCCTAGCATGCTGTCTCCAAGGACTAGTTCCTCTTGAAAATACGTCCAGCGTGAGTAAGACAAAATGTCATCATTTGCATAACAAATTATGGCTAACTTTAAGAAGAACGAGAATTAATTCAGAACAATTAATTGTGCTCATGTGAAACCTAGACATACACCAAGAAGCCGTTGTCTGAGCAGAACAAGGGAACACGGCATGCTTTAAAATCAGGAAATGTGTAGGTCAGGATTGCATCCTTACTGCAAAAACCTATTCAATCTGTATCCTGAGTAATTCTTTCAAGAAGCTGGACTAAATGAAGAAGAACGTGGCATAAAGAATAGAAGAAGACTTATCAACAACCTGCTTCATACACATGCCAAACCTTGACTGTAGAAAAAATAGTTATAAAGATAAAACAAAAAAGTCTGTGGGGGCCATAAATATCACAGACTAAATCAATAGTGTAAAGAAACACAACAAATGGACAGGTGATTAATTTCATCATTTAAATCCATTAGAAAAAGTTGATGTTCCAATGCGGGGGGAGGGGGGGAAGTGGGCAACAGATACCACAGGCCATTCTTATGAACAAAAACAGAAATGTTTAGTCAACAAGGGAAAAGCAACTAAATCTCCCCAGGGAGTTACAATTCAAAACACATTAGTTTTCATTTCACCTATCAGTTTGGCATAAAGTAAAAGATTTTTTAATACCCTACATCATTTTGTTGTGATTTCTTTGCATTTACCCAACATATTGACCAACATATTACCCAACACAGTGGCCATTTACTTTTCAAATTTCCCTTTTGAATAGTCATTCTTGTACATATAATTTTAGATTTTCAGATTACCTTGAAATATCCACGCTAACCTGCAGCCTACCTAGAAATCTAGGATTCTTATTTAATGCTAGTGATTTCTTCATACTGATGGGGAGTCATTTTAAGGAAGACTAAATACAAAAGTATATAAATCATAGACAGTTAAATGGCTTTGTATATGTCACTCGTGTGACCAGTACCCAGATCAAGAAACAGAACCCTGCCAGCCCCTTGGTGGCCGCACCATGCGGCCTTCCAGTCATGCTACACACAACCATATCCTCATTTCTAGCACTGTAGATTAGATTTCTTCTACTTTTGAACCTGATACTGGGGCAAGCTTAGAATATGTACTCCCCCCATTTTTTTAAATATTTTTACATTTTTAATTATAATTAAATTTTTTTACATTGGTTTGTATTTGGATACAAAGTTCATATACAATGTATTTCACACTATCCTTCATTTATATTGTGTTTCATACAATCATTCTCATTCACGGTTTCATAAAATCTATCACCATTGAACTATGCCCACCTCTTACCAGCTCCCTGCTCGATCTTTCCATTTCCTTTACTCCTTCTTCCTTCACTTACCGAATTGTGTGACCCTATGATGTCCCCCCTGCCTACACTCACCACTCTGTTCCCACACCTTTTCCTCTTGGATTCCCCACACATTTTACTAGTTATCCTTCTGTTTTTACAATAATAGTCCTATGCAGAATTTATCCTCGTGAGACTGAGTTAGTTCACTCGGCATAATGCTCTCCAGTCTTTTCCAAGTTATGCAGTCATTTTTTTAAATTGTTGCTCCTAAGTACGTACTGGGTTTGGGTTAGGGTTAGGGTTAGGGTGGTACTTTATTATTATTTTATGTATTCCTATGGACTAGGTCATCAGAGCTGCCTTTTGTGAAGTCCCCCCACCCCCGTGGCAGTTTTTTTATCTCTTTCCGTTGTTATTATATAGATAATATTTTAGAAATCTCTTTTACTGTTATTATGAATATAATATAAATATCTAAAATCACAAACTCTTTATCCACTGGGCCTCCAGAGCTCCACATACATATTCTTATACCTAACATGCCATTTTAATAATTTTTAAAATGTAAAATTATGTGGCATTAGTTATGTTCAGTGTTGTGCCACCATCAATCACCACGGCCATTTTCCAAAAGTTGTTTTTTTCATCACCTCAAGTTCAACATGCCTAAGGCAATAACTCCCTGTTTCACCCCTTCTCCGAACCCCTGGTAACCACTAATAAGCTTTTATCTCCATACATGCCCTAACTGCCAATATTTCATATAAGTGGGATCAACAATATTTGCCTTTTTATGTCTAATTTCCTTCCCTTTCAGAATGTCATCCATGTGTTAACATGTATATCAGAACTCCATTTCTCTGTATGGCTGAACAGTATGTCATTGTATACATAGATCACACTGTGCTTATTCACTCACTCATTGATGGACTCTTGCATTGTCTCCATCTTTAAACTCTGGTGAATAAATTTGCTATTAACATTGGTGTACCAGGGAGCTCTGGTGGCCTAGTGGCAAAAAGCTGCACTGCAATCCCAAAGGCGTGCAGTTCAAATCCACCAGATGTTCTGCTGGAGAAGGAGGGTCAATCTTCTCCTGTACCAGTCAGATCCAATTCTATGATACACATACATACATACATACATATATACATACATACATACATGTACCTATATCTGTTTCAGTTCCTGCTTTCAATTCTTTTGGGTCTATACCTAAGGATGGAATTGCTAGGATACATGGTAATTCTATAACTATTTTGAAGAACTTCCAAGTTCTCCTTCACTTTTGAGGTGAGTTGTTGAGTTAGGATTTATCCACAGGCATGTATCACATTGCATCTAACCCTCCGAAAAAAACTCTTGCTATAGGCCAAGAGTTATTATTTATATGTCCTGAGTGAATAAACCATGGTTTTAGGATTTAAGTAATATACTTACTGCTTCTTTGCCACCTGTAACAACTGGGGCTGAAGTCTGCAGAAAAAGAGCACACATCTTAAGAAAACATCTAGAAAGTATGTATCATGGAGAAAAGATAGTTGGCCCATGGTTCAGCAATACTGTCTCGAGTTTATCCCTTTGCTGAGCTTTCAGTTTAAAACATAAATAAAAGCCTAATAAAGCCTTATTTCTGTGCATTCGAAGTAAGAATAGCAATGAAATTTGGAGACAAAGATAGAGAATTCAGAAACTCAAGTAGTGCCTTTACTATTTACCTATGTGTAGTCTAACACATTTTTTAACCCCCAAAGGCTTTCTCCTCCCTCTAGTCTTCACTTAACACTTGACACGCAGAGGGAAACAAATATAAATCATAGTTGAAGCAAAGGTCTTCAAGGAAACTCCTTTTAACATAAAGTGAAGCCAATTGTCTCAGGGTATCTGAGGTTATAAATCACCTACTTCCGGTGATAATTCCATACTGAGTGAGAATATTACAATTTCTGACTCACATTTCCTCCACTCAAGCATTGAAGACTTCATCTGCTCCTCCTGAAATACTTTAGGTGAGAGTTGCCCTGAGCTGTGAGTCTCAAAGAAGAAAGTTCTACATTAATTACTAATTAATGGAAACTGCCATCTGTGTTATGCAGATGACACAACCCTGCTTGCTGAAACTGAGGAGGACCTGATGCACTTACTGCAGAAAGTCAAGGACTGCAGTATTCAATATGGATTGAGGCTCAATGTCAAGAAGACAAAGATTCTCACCACTGGGCCTACTGGCAGCATCAGGATGGGTGGTGAAGAGATTGAGATTGTTAACAACTTTAGTTTGCTTGGCTCCACAGTCAACACTCTTGGCACCAGTAGCCAGGAAATAAATAAAAAAAAAAAGACAAAAAAACCCCCAAACAACCCACCACAAACGTATTGAGATGGGAAAGTCTGCTGTTAGGGACCTCTCCAAAGTACTAAGGGCAATGGTGTCACTCTGGAGACTAAGGTGCGTCTGATACAGGCTATGGTCTTTGTAATCACTTGTTAAGCATCAGAGAGTTGGACAATGACTAGGGAGGATAGAAGGAGAATTGATGCCTCTGAGCTGTGGTGCTGGAGAAGAGTGTTGAATGTACCATGGACTGCCAAGAAAACAAACAGATTCATCCTGGAGAGGGTTAAATCAGGCTGCATCTTGGAGACAAGGATTCTGGGACTTCGTCTGACATACTAAGGACATGTTGTAAGGAAGGAGAGGTCCTTGGAGAGGGACATTATGCCTGGGAGGGTGGAGGGACGGCGCAAGAGGGGAAAACCCTCTATGAGGTGGATTGATTCAGTGACTGGGATAATTGGGATGGGTGTGTCAGTGATAGTGCGATTGGCACAGGACAGAGCAGGGTTTAGGGCTGTTGTACATAGGGTCACTATGAGTTGCAAGCGACTCGACGGCACATAACAACACAAGAACAACCTTGAAGGGTAGACTATACAGTTAATAGAGCAGATTCCAGACCTATTAATCTTCTTTGAATAATCATATGGCCAAATGATTTGAAAAAGTCAGTAGATTCAGTATATCTAGACAAGAAAATTTGTCTAGCTCAATCACAGTAGCACTGCTTTTCAGAAAACAATCCTGAATGTTATATTATCACTACCCACAGAAAGATGAAAATCTAGAATGGAAACCAAACTGTGCATAATCTACAAACTGAAAATTTCTATTTTGACTTTTAACTAAATGCCCTAATCAAGAACTGTGAAGTGCTCATTATTTTTTTTTTTATCTAATAATCCTCCTTTTAGGCTATATACTAAGGAAATAATTTAAATGCAAACAAGAACTTATATAATGATCACACAATTCTTTTTAATTGCAAGAATCAATTTAAAAAATAATCCACTTAGATAAATATTCACTTTCCTATTTTTTAAAATTGAGATTATAAAACCAAAGTTGCACACAGATTTTTAAGTTAAAAAAGCCTGGAATTGGCTACATTAAAATGCTTTCTCTAATGAAAAGATAGGGATTTTTTTCCTTCTGTTTCTCACATTTTCCATATGTTTATTTATAATTTTAAAAAATTAGCTTCACTAACTATTGAAAAATTAGCTTGGACAGTTTTGTAACTTATTATTGTACTGAGTTAATGGATAGAGTTCTAGAAATCCTCTGGCTTTCCCTAATTTACCTAATCCGTGAAGACTGAGGTACTTACCGTGTTAGCAGGCAGTGTGAAGTTGAGAGAAAAGCCCTGGAAGAGAGAAGCAAACGTTCAAACTCCCAGGAATAGCCAGCCTCACTCTGACCTCTCCCTCAAACTCCACTGACCCCAGCTGGCCCTTACAGAACGTACTGATCCCTGAGACCAGCCCTTGTCTCCATTATCAATCAGTGTTGAAGTGGGGTAAGGAACAGAGCAGTCTCAGGCCATAAGTTCCTCCTGTGGCATCCTTTCCTGCATTTCAAGTTCTCACACAGGGCCAAATAAAAGGGCCAATCAGTGGGGCTTTTGCCTGATCTATACAAATATTCACAAAATGCTGAAACTTGTCCGCCCCCCACCCCCCAGAACTCTTTTCAGGCAGAAAAATGTATAAGGTTAGAAATACTTTGGCACTTCCTTCTTGGGCAGGAAGTAACACTCTATGGGATGTAATGCCACAAGAACAGGTGAGCCTGTTAAACTATCTTGCATGAAGATCAAGCCTGGTCAAGACAAACTCCTGTTTTAGCTGAATCTGATGCAAAGGCCCTGGGCTAGCCTGAATCATTCAGGAGAGGCCAACTCATCTCCATCCTTCCCTCACTTAGGACCTAGTCTTCCCACAGTGGTTACTTCTAACTCACAGGGACCTTCTAGGATCAAGTAAAACTTCCCTGAAGGCTGTAATCATGATAGCTGCAACCATGGGCCCAGGTACAGCAACGATTGTGAATGTACTTGCTATACTTTTAGATTAATTGTGACCTAAAAATCAATAAATAATGTGAATCAAATAACATGAAGGACTATAGGCCTAAAAGAATTTATATATATATATATATATATATATATATATATATATATATATATATATATATATATATATATACACATATATTTAAACATGAAGTGTCTCAGAGACCATCTATCTTGACAACATGTAAAATCACTCTTATTTAATCAAAAGCGAAATTGAGACCAAAGGATTCATCAGAGATCGACCAGGAATCACAACCATGGTGTCACCTTTACAGGCCACATGAGCTCTGTCTGTGTCAGTTAACACAACTTGAAAGATGGCTCCAGTGGAGAGAGGCCCAAGAGATGCAACGTGACTGAAACGCCTGCTTTAGCCAGTTAACTGGCAAGCTTCTTCGTACCACTAAGATATAACCACCAGGAGAGGAGTGCAACATTTAGGGCCCAGGACCCCGCATGATGAAAATCTTTGACAACAGGAAGAACCAAGACACCTGGAGGTCTCCAGGGAACAATAAGAGTACAGACACCAAAGAAATCAAGAACTTTCCTCCACAGTTGACTCAGAATGCCTTCCCCTAGAACTAGTATCCTAACCTTGGACTTCTAACCTCTTAAACTGTATGAGAGTGTATATATATATATTTGTGCTATTTCCATGATAGCAGCATTTAGATAACTAAGACACCTTAAGCAAAAGTCCTTCTGTTAAAGGGATCTAACCACTGCCTTCATAGTAACCCCAGTCAAGCCCACAGGTGCTGTGAGGATGCTTAATGGTCACTGCATCCAGCAACACAGCTGCTCTGAGCCTTATCTCATCAGTGAGCACAGGGAACTGATGTCAACAAGCCTAAGACAAAGCTTCCTTTGGGGGGACATGAGAGGAGGGGGAGCAGCAACAAGCAGGCAATTAATTCTATGCACTGTTTATCAACATTGGGATGACAAAGATTCTGGCCAACTTCAGAGTGACATTTATGTTTGGAGAAACACAGAACAGGGTGATCTCATAGAGAAAATAAACAAGCAAACCCCAAAATACAAAACCACTGCAGATTTAGGTGGAGAAAATTCTTAGAAAGTGTCATGTTTAGAGAGGCAGCTGAGAGGGGGAAGGTAAACTGGGCTTTGGCGTCACCTGATTAAGACTTGAGTCCAGACTCCATCACTTACTAGCTGTGTGCTCTATGACAAGTCAATCAACCTCTCTGGTTCTACATTTCCTCACAATAGATCAACTTTCCCAAACTCAATCTTCTTATCCTCAAAATGATGAAGAATCTGGCCTCCCCATATTGTTGTTGCTACCAAGTTGGAACCAGCCATAGCTGACTCTCCAGAACTCCCAACTCCTGTACAGTTAAGCCCAAAGGAGATAGTATTGGTGGCAGCTTCTTCCAAATTATCAAATACTCCAGTTATTTATGTATATGATATGAGGTATACTCCACGTGCATTGCTTCCCTGGTATGTCTAGTGCAGAGTGAGGCACAGGGAAGAAAGCTAGTTAGCAAAGTCTTGTTGAATGGAAATGTATGCATGCATTGTTGTTGTCATGTGCTGTTGAGTCATCTGCGACTCATAGTGACCCTACGTACAGCAGCTCTGATGCCTGCTCTGTCCTGAGCATTAGCAAAATTCAAAATATCAGAATTTTATTCACTATTGAAAAGGAGCCCTAGTGGCGCAATGTTTAAGCATCTTACCTGCTAACCCTAAAAGTCAGCAGTTCAAAGCCATCAGTTGCCCCATCGTAAAAAGATCTGACAGTCTGCTTCTATAAAGATTACAGTCCTGGAAACCCCATGGACAGTTGTACTTTGTCATGTAGTGTTGCTGGGAGTCAGAATCACCTCAGTAACAAAAGGTTAGACTTGTTAATAAAACTAGACTGGGCACTATGTAATGGCTTCATAACAATTCTGAAGGCACTTGGGATCTCAGAGGCTGAGTATTGCTTGTTATGAATTTGCTGTCTGTGAGGGGACGGAGGGAGAGATGAATGACAGGACTCACTGTGACTGAGTATTAGTGCCTGTTGGGCACTGTACTAACAGGCTCTCCATGAGCCTTCCACCACTGATGTGCACACACGAGTCTCAGATGGGCTTCTGAAGGTCAGGAGCTGCTAAGTGGTAGAAATTAAGTCAAAATACTGACTTTCTTCACTCTAAACCCTAAAATCAACTCCTTTAACACTCCCTCTAATAGAAGAATCACCAAAACCCCCTCTGTTTTTTCCTAACACAGAAACTCTGGTTTCACTGAATCACAATCCAATATGCATCACAAGGCAAAAAGAAAAAGAAACAAGTGAACATCTATATGCCTCATAACCTGGCAAAGGGGAGCTTGAGAAAAGGAGAAACACTGATTCCAGTGATTCCTGATCCCAATGATTCCCCTAGGAAATGAAGCATCTATCTGCAAATGAGGGATTTTAGAAGCAAAATAAAATAAGAGACTAGACAAGAATAGATTGTTAAAAGTTGTTAGTGTTTTACACATACAGAAACACATAAAACCCATGCCCCTTGATTTCGTTGTCCTGAGAGTCTTTTATATTTATTTAACAGACATACAGCTACAGAGGAGCAGGAGACATGAGCTTGCCTTACAGAAAGAGATCAGGGTTAGGCTGAGAAAAGATGCTAGGTCTCACTCACCATGTCCGAGGACCTCCCAAAAGCCTTCTCCAAATATTGTCGTTGGTGAATTCAAACTCCTTTCCACTGATATTATCGGCTCGTGTCTCCCATTTGCAGGCACATCCAACTGAAAGACCAAAAGCAACAGGAGAAAGGGAGTCTCCTCTGAGAACCCATTGCTGGGGAGCCCCTGCCAGGCTATTTATGGTCAGGGGAGTAGCCAAGTTCTTGGCCCATCCCGCAGGAAAGATGGTCTTGTTCAAGGCCACTGTGGGAACATCCACGCTTTGCCTTCATTGCCTTTCCTTTTCCTCAGGCTTTTTCCTTGGTAGATTACGGTCTCATCGGTGAAGCCACAGTTGGCCTGTCAGGCTTCTGCAGCAGCCGCTCACTAGAAACAATGGGTCACACAGGGCTGTAACCAACAGCTCCATCCCCCGCTGACAGGCATCTGTCACTTACCCCCTTCCTCACACCTTACCAGCATCAGTGCAGGGAATGCCTGAAGATGGGCATTGGAGCCTGTTGTGTTTCTGAGGCAGCGTTGTAGCTGCCACAGTAAACACCCTGACTGGACAGTGAGGAGCTCCGACTCACCCCTTCTTGTTCTCACATTTTGAGTGGGAAGCCTCCTGGAGCCAAAGGAAGCAGCTGGTACAGGCTGTTTTCAATTTCTAGGGATTTCTCTAAGTTTGCTTCTTTAAAATGATTAATGACTTGGAGTTCCTTTGCTAACAAAACAACAGGATGAAAAGCCAGTTATTTGGTGATTTGAATTAATGATTCATTCATTCATTCAACAAAACTTTTTGACACAGTGTCTCCAACAATGGACTCAAACTGAGCAATGATTGGATAATCCAGGATCAAAGAGTGTTTTGTTATGTTGTACATCAACAAACAAACAAACTTAACTCATTGCTGTGAGTTGGAGCTGACTCTTAGCTGACCCTCCAGTGGGTTTTCTGAGGCTCTAAATTGCACGGGAGGAAATTGTCCATCTTTTCCCTAAGGAGCTACTGGTGGATTTGAGCTACCCACCTTTGAGTTGGCAGTGCAACAGCCTACACACTATGTTGTACATTGTCGTTGTTGAGTACTATCAAGTCAGAACCGACTCATAGCTGACCCTCCAGTAAATTTTTAGAGGTAATAAATTGCATCAGAGGAGATTGCCTCTATTTCTCCCACAGAGCTACTGGAGGATTTGAACCACCGACCTTTAGGTTGACAGTGAAACTCATTACCATAAAGCCACCAGAGCTCCCTCAATAATGCCTTCAGTATGCCAAAGGGTTTGCCATGAGTTAGAACTGATTTGTTGACAACTGATGGTGGGGAGCCAAATTTCATACTAAATATTTATAATAAACCAAATGCTGTATCAGGATATGAGGGAGGCACGGATACAAGCGGGAATCCACCCTGAAGCACCAAGGCAGACTTTAGGTGTTCACAGGGGTTAAGCCCTAAGGCAGACCTTAAGACTTTCCACAATTCTTGGATTGTATTGGCTAACCCCTCCCTCCTGAGTCAAGCATAAGGTTTTCAATAGAAGGGGCTTAGCTTCATTTGCATAGAATTCTCTTTGTGATTTACTCCCTGACAATTTTCAATAAAGGCACAGGGAAGCTGGAT